TTTTAATGAGAATTATATTGGCCACTCAAGAGTGCGTGATGTTTTTATGCTTTCATGCTAAATCTTGATGGGGGAAGAATTTAACAAAAATATTGGTATGATTTCCGTTTAATGCGCCAGGACAATAAAACCACCGAGTTTATGCCTCATGCTTTAGATTTAATGCCACATTGAGATATGGCAAACGGCATATATAACGGTTCTGAAATTATATGGTGCTTAAAGTCAGGCATCGAATAGAAATTACTTTAGGAATAATATAATGAAAATGCAATAATCCGAGAAAGTGGATTTAGCATTTAATTTATACTATTGTTTCTTTTAAAGATATGAAGACCAGGATGATGTGGCCTTTTGTAAGGTCGCGATCTCCTTTCATTGTATATTAGTCATCTGACCTTGTTTTCGCAACTTTGTCATATTGGCAGTACCTCCAGATCTGCTTTACTCTTAATAATAATTCGTTAACGGCTTTCAATGCAAGCTAACGGCGAGTTAAAAACGTCTTTAGATGAAATAAATGTGTGACTCACCCCGATTATACCTAAATACTAAATAATATAATTATAACTTCGATAAATTAGTTTGTGCACAATTGACAAGTGGTGCATGAGTTCTGGATCAGCAAAACTTCCAAGTTTGATAAAACTGCTGTATTTGGGTTTCTATAGTATTGGCCTATTGTACTGATGTAGGCATAGATAACGTAAAATAGCAATACAATAGACAATACAAGATATATTTTAGGTGTCAGACATTTTTTTAAAGCCACTTAACAAACCGCACCGAAGATTTATAATACCACTTAAAATTTACTCGATTGAGTGCAAGTTCAGTAAGTTTTTTAGAAAATATTTAAATATTTTCTCAATTATTATCCCGTTTCTCTTCTCCTCTTAGAATATCCTCTATCAAACATCTTAGCTGCAGATCATAATCGCTCACTCTAACTTAATAGAGCCTAAACCTTACTCTCTACTTACCTGCAGCCCTTACTAAATGTCTTATTAATATATATGTTAGACTAACTCTTCAAAGCCAATAAATAGCTGTGGTACATGATTTCTTATTCCTCGTATAAAACAAAAATGTCTTAATTAATAAACATCATTGTAAATATAAGTAAAACATTTGCGGTTTACAATCTCTCATTAAGTGATCGAAAAATCAGACTAATAAGAACCTTTTGAGCTCACGTGTGCCAGAAAGTTTTCCATATTTCTCTTGACTAGGCGATTTACAGCTAATGATTTCCTCCTTGCTTTCCGTTGAGCTACCGTGATTCATTTCAGCTCCTCTTTCTTCACTATTCCCAAGACTTTCTGCTTCCCTCTCCACTTGAGTATGAACCTCGTGTTCCAGTGCACTCTCGGATCGCCTTACCCCCTGTGTCCAGGAAGGAGACCCACTTCTGGCAGTCTGCTGCCGATATAAGGCAGCCACCATAACTGGCCTCTTCTTTGCCTCTAATCGAACCAACTGATGGTGCCAAATGGACTCTTGGGCGAGCACTAAATGATGCAGTCGGCGCGACGTAAGCATTAGGCTACCGAGACTTGATAGTGGGAGGAAAAGCATTATACGCGTCTGCAAAAAGAAGGGCAAAACATGCAGTTACGCCTGAAAAAATAGTATACATATTCAAATAGACAATAGCCAGTTGTACATATATATAAATAAAGAAATTAGAAGAGAACTTAAAGATGTCACGGCAGCAATCAAGAGTGCTCATGCGGTATCTGGATGACTATTTCCTACTTTGCTCGCATAGAAGAGAAAAACTGGAAAATATTCTGAAGTTAATAATCCAGATTAATGAAAGAATTAAATTTACAATGGGAGTAGAGGGAGAAGAGTTGTTACCCTTCCTGGATGCTATTCGCTCTAATGGGATGCTCATAAGGGAATTGTTCAGAAAGAAGTCACATGCCAAAATAATACTCAATTTCCAGTCCCATCACAACTATAGGAAAAATGAGGAGCATAATAATCATAAGCATATGATTAATGGATGTGGAATTCTGGGATGAAGAATTGGATAAATTGACTAGGATATCCCTCGGCAACGGCTAACCGGGTGAAGTAATACAAAGAAACGTAGGGGCCGTGAAAAGCGGTGACAGAATGGTGACTACAAGAGAATAGTAAGGACGGAGAAGGATTCACAAAAATGGATATGCCTACTTTACCGCGAACTTACTCAAAAAACTGCGACAAAAATACTAAGAAAATTGAATATCCAGGTAACCATGAAAGAAAAAACACTCCACAATTCTACTCACGCGACACAACAAATACAAGTTGGATTGATAGGAAGCTTATTGTACAGCATGCGGCGTCTTCGAACAGAAATATATTGGTGAAACAGAAAGAAAAATC